TTGGGTCAATGAGTCATTATTAAAACAAGTCAGGTCTAAAACGGACCCAAATAAAAGTGGGTCAGTATTTAAAACCAGTTCAAAAAAATAGGTATTTATGGTTCAGGTCAAGGTCAGATAAGACAGGGCAAGTGAACCAATTTTTTTTGAAAGGGGTAGAACTCTAGCAGTGTGGGTATACGGTGGATCCTTATACTTTGTCCGTAGGTTACAGACGTGTGTAATGCTTATTTTGTTCTCTAGCCATAAGATTTGTGTTTTGCGCACCTACATGATATACATATGTTGCATCTTTATATTGTTTATATTGTTCATACTTATAATATGCCTGTAAGTGAACTTGGGGGAGGAGTAGTCCTTCGAGAACCCCGGTTAACTAAGATTTGTTAAAATCTTACCCTATGTGGGGCACATTTTTAGGAGCAGATATTCATGATGTTGGTGCATCTCGAGGCAAGAGGTTGTAGTAGAGTTGATGGCATGATATGCATGCATTATGATTATGAGATATTTCGTAGCTGAGGTATGCTTATATTGACAGTACTTATGTTGTTATTTGATGTGAGCATAGAGGTTGTCTATGCCACTATTTAATAATCATGTTTACTGTTGTTGAGGACATGTATTGGCTTACACCATTGGGTATGGATGTTGTCATGACTACATGATCAGTGGCGGACCTGTGTATGTTTACAAATTTTTTGGAGAAAAATAAAATAAAATATATTTTGGGTCATGAACAAAAATCACATGATTAATCTCTTAAAAAAAAGTCGACTAGTGATCACTTTAAAATTTAAAGTAGACCCATGTTAGTCCTTTTGAGGGATTAATGTGGATTTTTTGAATTTTAGAGAACCATGATTTTGATTATCTGAGTCTATTTTTGAATTCTGATGGATCACGAGTAGACTTTTTTTCCCCTAGGAGATTAAATTGAGGCCTGTAATTTTTGTTGAGGACCCAAAATGTTCTATTGTAACAGTTTAGTTGACTCTTGATTACTTTTTTTAATTAAGTTAAATTTTTTTATATATATATTCTTTTGTATTTTAATATATTTAAAATTTTATTTAAATTTTTTTTCCTTTATTCTTTTATTCTAAGTGTGCAGACATTAAAAAAAATTTCTAGGTCCGCTATTGTACACGATGTAGGCTCATGAGTCATGACTAAGTATTATTTATAACTATGAGACATTTCAGATTATTTTTTGTATTGCAATTACATGAGGATTGTTAAAAAGAAAAAGTTAATTCACTTGGTTAAATTAATGGGTCTTTCATAATTGGATAAGTAACTTCCACCATTTAATTAAACTGCGCTTATTACCATTATACGTTTAATACACCAGGTGCACACGAGGTATTACACCCCCTGAAGGGAAAGACGTTCGGAATTCTACTCCATTATCACTTGCATCATCTTGTAATATGTGTGGTATGGACAATGATGATTTTATTTTTTCCATGAAATTTATGTAACAATTAGTCTTTAATTTTACGCATAATTAAATCTAACTATAGCAAGGTGAAGAAAATATTCTAACTTGGTGGATATTAAAATCCCCTCTAATCCTTCTATTACCACTAAAACTTTCCAACTATTTTGATCAATTTTGTGGGACTAGTATTCATACGTTCATAAAAGAGGAGATTAATTTGAACTCAGTGAATTCCTTATATAAACTTAGAATACATTATTGTTTAGGGATTCTAACTCCAAGTTAATACTTAAAATCTACTTGAACTATGAATAAGATCTCATGTGATCTAGAGTAGCGGGTGAGAGTGGATGTTCAACCCAAGGTGGGGAAATTACAATTTTCCGTAAGAGCCTAGATAAATAAAAGATCACGACTTAACAATGTTGTAAAGCCTACATGAGTGAATGAATGTTTTGTAATCTATTGGAATATTCTTGAGTATCATGGAATGAATGCCAAAACTGTTAGTCCTGACCCCACCTCCTGGATGTGAGGGTTGCACGTCCCAATCATTAGATACCTATGTGAAATATTTCTCTTTGAAATATTTTCACAATAAGATTTTCTTAAAACAAAAGAAATAAATTCAAATTTGCACTAATTAATTAACTATTAAATAGATAAAAAAACGCAGATAATTACAGCAATTTATTTTAAACGTGCAAGGCAAGGTAGGATAAATAGGTAAGTTGGAAAAGCAAAAACAGAGCAGCAGAAACACTCTTGTGCTTCAACACACAAAGAATATTACTTGCGACTTGCGAGTCCATGGGTTGTGCGGTGATTTTCTAACATGGTTGATGGGTGTTTCAGTTTATGATGGGTTTGACAGCGGCTAGAGATTTAAGGTTGTGTGATGCTGCTATTGGGGCTTGAAGTGATGGTTGGGACTGTTTGTGTTTTGTTTAGCTGAGTTGTAGTCACGTTAATGTGGTGTTTATGTTACTTGAAAGAAAGAGAGTATTTTATTTGGAAAATGGACATCTCATGTGTAATTTAACATGATCATATCATGTGGGAGGATCTTAACCGTTAATAATTAAATCAATGGTAATGATTGTGTAACTTCCTATCCTTATATTTTTTTCTCTCTTCTTCCTTATCACCATTAACTCATTCATGTATGGTTATAATTGCCCCACACGACATGATCATGTTAATTAGCACATGAGAGGATCCATTCCCATTTTATTTTATATATTTCAGAATACACATAGATCTCTTCATATATCGAACAATAAGAAATTAAAATAAGGAACTTAATCGTTATAAATTAGGGAATTAATGAGTTAACAATCTAATATGCTAAATACAGAATACATACAATAAAAAAAAAAAAAAAAAAAGAACGAAATCCACAGCACAACGAGGGAGTAAATGTCCACATATTTGATCACAATAAAATAAGCGCAATCTATCCAGCAAAAAAAATAATGATAAGCGCAATTTTTATATTCTTTAATTAAATATAACTCCCTCAAACTGGGCAAAAAATCCGTACTAACGTTAATTTTGAAATGTATCTCCATCGTAAAACACTTTTCAAAAGAATGACCAATGTAGAGCAGTCAAACACGTAGGTTTGACTGACGAGATAAGTCCCGCCAGTGTGAAAGACGAGATCAGAAGCCACGTAGGAAGCCCAACCAATCGCGTCAGTCCATGTCACGTGTTTTCCACATATCCCGCCACCTGCTGTGACATGTACCAGTCCCGCCATGTCAGTTGGCGAGACTAAGCCACGTGGCCAAAGTCTTGTAACACTGGTTGGCGGCATTCCTTTACAACCGTTCATATCTTATCTCTTCCCGAACCGGTGCCTCTCTCCCTCCTCCCTCTTGTTCCCTCCCTCTTCTTCTTCTCTGTTTGTCTCCATTGTTTCTTTCCATTTTCGTAAGTCAGAGAGTGAAGCAAGCAAATTTTTGGGTCCAAAGATCGTTCTCCAGTCCGTTGGCACCTCCATCGGAGCAACTGTGTGCGTTCCCATCTTTCCATTTAGTCACGAAACCACAGGTATTTTGGCATTGTATTTTTTTTACCTATTGGCTCGATTTTTATATGTGTGTGTTATGTTGTTGTTTGTATGGTGTTGTGTTTGAACTATTATTTATAGGCATGATCTGGTTAATTTTTTTCCGGGGACCACATGTTTGTTTTTTTGCATGTTGTGGTGTATTGATGTGGACAGATTCATGTGTTCTCAAGTTGTTTTGTTATATATCTGTTAAAAAAATTGCCTCACTTTTTGATTTTAAAATCTCTTGGGACATATAGTTTTGTAATGGAGTCTGCTGTCAAACAAAAATTACAACATATATATGAACGAACAATTGAATTTGAAAAAGGGCAAACGGTGGTGGCATGAAAGGAACTGAAATTACAACATATATGAACAATTGAATTTGAAGAACAGCAAACGGTGGTGGCATGAAATGAAACGGTTAATTTTTTTTTTTGGAAATAATGAAACGGTTCTTTTAATAATTATTAGTAAATGCAATTTTAATTAGTAAATTTTTTTTTAATTAGTAAATAGTGGCCCATTTGTTTGCGTAATTAATAAATAAGATAAATATTAATATTAATCAAATATATTAATTATAACAAACCTGCACATACTTAGTCATATTAAATAATAATCATGTCATTAAAGCCCTTTTCAAATATTCTGCATTAATTAAGAAAAATAATTTTGGAATCCTTAGTAGGCATCAAGCTAGGTTATTCGTAAGATTGGCCATTAATCAATGTAATTTTGGTTTTTGGTAAAAAGTGATTAATGTCATAATTATGTTGTGATTTTAATTAGTGACCTGATTAATAGTAATCATATTGAAATTTACAATGCTTTATAAAAACCATGTTAGAAAACTAAGTTGTTAATATTGAAAATTATAAACATTAATCTGAAATAGTAATTTAGATTGAATATATTTATAATAATTACAATTATTAATTATTGAAATCGTAATAATTGTTTTAATAATTATATAATTGCAGATCTCATGTTAATGAATAAAACCTAAGAAAAAACATATTAAGTTGATTTAATAACTATTAAAAAAGTAAATAAATAGCCACTACCATTTAGTGAATTAGTTAAATATTATTCATGCTATTAAATCCCTTATACAAAATAATTTATTAACATTACAATGTTGCAAAAATGCTTTAGGGTAATTTAATTAATGTAATTGGCATGATTTAATAGTAATTCATGTTTGTATTAGTATTAATAAAATTTGTCTTAGCAATGGCATAGTGACCTGTGTGTAAAAATAAGATAGTATCAATGAAAATTTGTAAAACGTAAATTTAATGACTGTATATTTGCCAAGGTTAATTAAATCGACATGAAACTTTATAGTAAAGTAATAAATACTCTTGTAATTATTTAGTATATGCTGTTGTTATTACAATTGCAGTCATATTTTATTAAATAGTAATTGCAATAGTACCTTAATTATGTAGTCCCTATAATAATTGATAAATTTTACAAATTGTTGTTAGTTAAATGGCTAGTGATGGACCTCGCATTGACCCCGGTCCGAAAGAGTGGGGTGTACTAGATGAAGATGTGCAGCAATGTCATAGATCCCAGGTGGTGTGGAACGAAGGACATTTAAAGTCTCTGAGAGTGAGACGAGCTTCAGAGGGTAGGGGAAACAGAGATGTACACGACCCAGATGACATCCCCCAGGACCTGCAGCAGCATTTGGTGCGTGCAGGTTTTTGGCATGCGGCTCGCATGAGAAGATTACCGGTATGTTTCATTTATGAATTTTATTTTATTTATTACATGTTACCAATAATAACGACCTTTATGCATATTTTTACGATTACGCTTCTCACATGCAGATTGACCATAGGCTGATTACTGCACTGGTGGAGAGGTGGAGGCCGGAGACTCACACTTTCCACATGCCTGTGGGAGAGATGACACTCACTTTACAGGATGTTGAGGCCATTCTGGGTTTACGCACTGAGGGTCGGGTAGTTTCCGGCTTTACCCATGCCAACTGGGAGGACGTAATTCTGCAGTATATGGGAAGATCTCCACTTGAAGACGATTTGGATGGTGGAAACCTTAAGATGAGTTGGTTGACTCATCATTGGGGTCATTGGGCCACGCATTCAGGTACTCACGAGGGACATATTAGGTACACTCGTGCCTATCTGATGCGTCTGTTTGGAGGTTTCTTGCTGTGTGACAAGTCAAGTTCAGTTGTCGGGTGTAGATACATTCAACTATTAGATGGGGACTTTGAGGAAACCAATACATATAGTTGGGGATCTGCGGTACTTGCAGTACTGTTCCGTGAGCTATGTCAGGCAACATCTTCAGGGGCCAGTGATATTGGGGGATGTACGTTGTTGTTACAGATATGGGCATGGACCCGTTTTCCTACCATAGCACCGCCCATGCCACTACCAAGTGACCCAGCCGATCACTATGGACGACGGTATACAATAACATTTGTTTCAGTAGCCTTTTTTTGGTATTTTTGTATTGTTTTCCTATCATTCATTTGTGTGGGATGTATTATTTTTTTGTAGGTTTAACAATGTGGTATTGCAGCGACACCGATTTCACCTGAAGGATTACCGGATTGAGCTTGATCAAATGGGTAGAGACAATGTACGAATGATTCATCTAGTTGGTTTATATTTGCATCGTATTATAATGTTCCATGTGGCTTATGCATATTTTCTTTTTATAGGTTGTGTGGGAGCCATATAAGGAGGTTGGCTATGAGTTTCTGGGTGCAGATGCTGACATGCAGAACAAATGGAGGGCTGTTACACCTGTACTCACCTTCCACATTGTCGAGATGCACCAGCCTGACCGTTGCATGCGGCAATTTGGCATGCAACAACACATCCCTAGACTTGCTGGTCGGTTGAGAGGTTTGATCAGAGTGCGCGAACTCCACCATTGGCAGGGTTCAGTTCCTATCATCCGGTACACGGAGTGTCAGCATTCGGTGCATATCACGGGACCCAGTCTAGTAGTGTCACTGCAGGAAGGTACGGCCATAGGGAAACATCACATACGTCTCGCAGTGGGCATCAGTCAGGAGAGGACACAGGGGACGACTTTCTCCAAGCAGCAGCAGAGGATTTCGATATTAGGCATGATCCTGATACAGAGAGAGTGGGTGGTGTCATTCGCAGGAACCCTGAATGTGATGCGCGTAACAGACCATGGCCTACTTATACTCCATCATCATAGTTTCCCTATCTATGCATTTTAGATGTGTTTGTGGATGACTGTACTTATGGATTATTGTAATTTACTGTTTTTGTTATGTCATGTATGGTTTCATGTGTAGTACTGCAGAATGATTTGTATCTGGGAACTCGGAATTCCCAACTATGGATATGGTTGATATTATTTGGACTGTTATTTTCTGCATTTCAGGTTTAAGGGGATTGTCCAGTTTTCTGCTGTTATGCTGTCCGATTTTTATTTCACTTCTTGCATGTCACCTGTTTATTATTTCACTTCTTGCAATTTCAGTAGCTTGTGTACTGAACTAGATTTGCGATTACTGAAAGATAGATATTATATTACAATTTTGGCATCATTCCAACACATTAATTTGATATGCGTCTTGTAGGACATGCACGCCTATTATGTCCGGCCATCTTACATATACTACATTTAGTTCGGCTAGAACTTGGTTGGTCTTCAAGTTCGTCCATTTCATTGCGAATACGTGTGGATTTAGGACGGCCCTGTCCACGCATCATGGAGACATCAGGCACAAGCTTTGGACCGGGATGTGGGGGAATTCCATCTTCACTACCAATCGGCAAAAATGGAGAAGAGTAGACATGCATAATGGAGGTTACTGAGAATACCGGATCCACGTATTGCTCAACATCAAGGGCTACCTTCTTACATGATGCAATAACATGGCTACACGGGATTTTGAATGCTTGAAACTTACCACATTGGCATTTCCGATCAGTGAGGTTAACCGAAAAAGTAGACCCTTGGTCATCGACTTCAAATGAGGTGCGCGCCACATTATACTCCCGAACACGCATTGATGTTGCCCTCTCATTGTTCTTTGTCATCGCTTCTGAAATAACATTTGAGAAATGCTTTCCAATCTCGACATCTTTCTGTGCTTTACACCCTCTTTTAAAAAAGTAACGAGCAAGTCGACTATATGTGCATTTTACCAAAGAAGTTATTGGCATGTTCCTCGCTCCCTTGAAAACCCTGTTGACTGATTCAGACAAGTTAGTTGTCATGTGACCATATCTTCGTCCACCCTCGTCGTAACTCCGAGTCCATTTCTCTTTTGGAACAGCCTCAATCCACGCAGCGACTTCTGGACTAATGCTGCAGAACTCGGCATACGCGGCATCAAAGTAATCTTTATTTGCAACATATCCTACGAAAAAAAACACATATTTATATAATAAAGGACCCAATCGACAAAGGATTTACACAGTTTCATGTAACTAGTTTGCATATATAACCTAGCTTCTTTAGAAAACCCTTCATGTATTGATCCTTGAATCGTGTATTAAAATTTCTCCCCACATGACGAAGGCAAAACACATGGTATGCATTAGGAGGTTGCCATCCAATGTCTGGATTGGCCACTGCTGATAAAATGCTTTTGTGTCGATCAGAAATAAGGCTTATTCCAGTCTTACTGGTTACATGCATTCGGATGGATGCCAAAAAATATTCCCATGCATCTTTAGTTTCACTTTCAACGACCGCAAATGCGATTGGCAATACCTCATTGTTGCCATCTTGCGCTGTGGCGATCAATAATGTCCCTTTGTATTTACCGTACAAATGCGTACCATCGACCTGTATGACTGGTTTACACCATTTAAACGCCTCCCGACATTGACCGAAAGTCCAGAAAACACGTTGAAAAACCCTAGACCCAGTAATAACTTGTCCATTCATGACACACGATCCATGTTGAATATGGTAAACAGACCCCGGAGAAAAATTCAACATGTGCGCGAACCATCTTGGCAAGAACGCGTATGACTCGTCCCAATCACCGTAAATCTTAGCAATTGCTTTCTGCTTTCCCTTCCACGCCTTCCTATAAGAAACATTATATCCAAAAAGGGCAGTAACTCGTTCTTGTATCAAGATAACGGCCACCGACGGCGAAGCCTTCACCATGTCTGCATACATATATAGAGCATATTTGTAATTAGTAATAATATCCACCTTCACATGATAAACACATAAATTGTCGCAGTACGAAAACTTCAACAATGTATATAGTACCTAGAATGGCCTCAGATATAAATTGTGAATCAAGTTGTTTGTTATCTTGCGAAAGGGTTGTGCTGACACAAGAATGTTTTCCACCCCATTTAGTGACTACCCAGCTGTTGCTATTCTTCGGTTTAATTGCCCTTACTCGCCAATTGCAGCCTTCTTCATGCTTACGACATTTCATAGACAACTTCGTGGTAGTACTCTCAACCACTACAGCTTCTTGATGCTCATTCATGCAGTAATGTTTTATAGCGGCTTGCACATCGCTCTTCAACCGGAACTCTTGTTTCACATACATTTCGTCTCCTCTTGTCCACTGACCACGACCTAAGCCTTCAACATCCAGTATGTCTTCGTTCGGATAATCCAAATTAACAGCCTCATAGTGTGGGATGTCATCCCAAAATGGTGTCACATCTACAAAAAAAATAAAAAAATACGATATGGCAAATATTAAAGCGATTAAAAAAAATTTAATCATTCAACACGTTCAATGGCTAACCTGATGTTGGTGGAATAACCGCATTATTGGACGCAGGGATAACTGTCTCCTGTGTTATGGGATTATCATGATGTTCATCATCTCCTCCATCACTATCATTCTGATCATGGTCATTTGCCAATAGAGTGTCTTCATCTTCCTCCTCATCTTCATTGTCAGGTTCAACATCTACCATATAGTCGCTTTCATCTCCATGCGCAATAGTTGATTGTGTGGGTTGGGGTACCGATGATGACGGCATTTGTGTCTGACTGTTAAGGTCTAACCCACGTGTCGGTGTTGACATTTCGTCTGATGTCTCAATATCCACGTATAACTCAACAAATTGAGAAGTAGTTTGGTTTTGGACAAATGTTCCAAGAAAAATATCAATGTCCTCATCATCAGTTAGATCAAAACCTGCATATTTGCGATTTCCACTTGGGACTCTACCCGTTATTGAAGAAATTACCTGATTTTGTTGCAACTTCAACTTCTGACGAATCTTCTGAAGTAGATCTTCAATGGACAAGCCTCGCACAATATACATTGCTCTTTTTTCCCCTTCGAATCTCAACCCGCCTACACCGTTAATTTTAGAACCATTATAATATACAAAAGACCGATATTGTTCCATTGTAATAATACAGGGGTGTATGCAAATAACACAAAAAGATCAGATGCAAGTGGAGATTAAAAAAAGTAAATAAACAACATTTGAATCCGCATTACAGCAAGTGACACAAAACCTTTTGGAAATTACACACACAGCAAGTGACACAAAACCTTTTCGAAATTAATTACACACAGCAAGTGATACAAACAAATTACTACAAGTAAAGAAACCGTCCGTCAAAATCATATACAAAAATAGCAAACATAAACCAAATTCCAAAGTTTCAATACTAGCAAACACCGGAAGACCTATATATAACCAGACAGGTATCAACCGTAAGTGTCAGTGGCGAGATTGACAACCGGACGCTACCCCACGAGTGTGGCGAGGGGAGGCTGGAACGCGTCACAAGAACTGCGGATGTGTCGCACACGTGGCTTAGTCTCGCCAACTGACATGGCGGGACTGGTACATGTCACAGCAGGTGGCGGGATACGTGGAAAACACGTGACATGGACTGACGCGATTGGTTGGGCTTCCTACGTGGCTTCTGATCTCGTATTTCTCACTGGCGAGACTTATCTCGTCAGTCAAACCTACGTGTTTGACTGCTCTACTATAATCATTCTTTTGAAAAGTGTTTTACGATGGAGATACATTTCAAAATTAACGTTAGTACGGATTTTTTGCCCTCAAACTGGCTTGAAAATGTCTTACGTGGACAGCTTGCAAATTATATTGTCAAAGTTTGTAATACAAATATGCCTATCGTCTATCATTTCTATAATAAAATGTTTGTCAACTTCCACATGTTTGTATTATGTGAAATATTTCTCTTTGAAATATTTTCACAATAAGATTTTCTTAAAACAAAAGAAATAAATTCAAATTTGCACTAATTAATTAACTATTAAATAGATAAAAAAACGCAGATAATTACAGCAATTTATTTTAAACGTGCAAGGCAAGGTAGGATAAATAGGTAAGTTGGAAAAGCAAAAACAGAGCAGCAGAAACACTCTTGTGCTTCAACACACAAAGAATATTACTTGCGACTTGCGAGTCCATGGGTTGTGCGGTGATTTTCTAACATGGTTGATGGGTGTTTCAGTTTATGATGGGTTTGACAGCGGCTAGAGATTTAAGGTTGTGTGATGCTGCTATTGGGGCTTGAAGTGATGGTTGGGACTGTTTGTGTTTTGTTTAGCTGAGTTGTAGTCACGTTAATGTGGTGTTTATGTTACTTGAAAGAAAGAGAGTATTTTATTTGGAAAATGTACATCTCATGTGTAATTTAACATGATCATATCATGTGGGAGGATCTTAACCGTTAATAATTAAATTAATGGTAATGATTGTGTAACTTCCTATCCTTATATTTTTTTCTCTCTTCTTCCTTATCACCATTAACTCATTCATGTATGGTTATAATTGCCCCACACGACATGATCATGTTAATTAGCACATGAGATGAGAGCCATTCCCATTTTATTTTATATATTTCAGAATACACATAGATCTCTTCATATATCGAACAATAAGAAATTAAAATAAGGAACTTAATCGTTATAAATTAGGGAATTAATGAGTTAACAATCTAATATGCTAAATACAGAATACTTACAATAAAAAAAAAAAAAAAAAAAGAACGAAATCCACAGCACAACGAGGGAGTAAATGTCCACATATTTGATCACAATAAAATAAGCGCAATCTATCCAGCAAAAAAAATAATGATAAGCGCAATTTTTATATTCTTTAATTAAATATAACTCCCTCAAACTGGCTTGAAAATGTCTTACGTGGACAGCTTGCAAATTATATTGTCAAAGTTTGTAATACAAATATGCCTATCGTCTATCATTTCTATAATAAAATGTTTGTCAACTTCCACATGTTTGGTTTTCTTTAATAAAACTGAGTTATGAATAATGTGATGCTTTCTGCCTAGAGAGAGACTTTCTGCGATGTCAATACTTTAGCGCGTGTGATGTTTCTGAACACCACTTTCGCTGCATCTTCATCGAAACAGAGTGGAAAGAAGCAAGAGTGGATGAGTGGGAGAGGAAGTCTTCCTTGGTGATGTATGAGTGCTTTGAAAGAAAAATGAGGCCTTCCTCATCCCTCATTGGCTGTGTTCCACTTTGTTTGATGAAAAGCTTAGTTATGATTTCCCCTTAACAACAAGATTGGGTTAAAAGTTTGTTATGTTATTGGACAAATTTTTAACTTTCCTGCACAAACAAATGTGGGATCCATCCATTTTTTATTTTTATTTAAAAAAAAAAAAGAGAAAAAGGTCCGATGGAACTGTTGCTATTATTGCAGGAAAGTTAAATGTTTGTCTTGTAACATGACAAACTTTTTTTTGATGATTTTTGTTTAAAATTCAGGGCTAGTTAGATCTTGGTGTGAAATGATGGGGCGCTGTTTTTCTTGGTTGAGCGCATTTACTTTGATTTCCACTTGTTTAAAAAATCGAAAGAAAAGAGAGAGAAAATGACAAATATTAGAGGAAGCTTTACAAACGAAAACGGAGAAAAGGAGAACAAACAGTTCAAAGAAAATGGAAAAGTATTTTTCTTACAACAGATAAAGTTATTTTAGTAACCCAAAATGATATTATTTTGGGATTTAGGAAAAAAAAAATATAAAGTATTTTATCAATTTCATTTTTTTTGTATTATGTATTTTACTAAAATATTCTACACTTTTTTTTTTCTCAAACACCAAAATTACTATTTTAAAATTGCAGGAGATAACATTATTTTATGTGTTGCTGGAATCCAAAGAAAAATAGTCTTAGATTTTCTTATAAAATGATGAGATTTTTATGATTTTTCTTTTCAAACATAAATTCCATGGCATTATTATGATTTTCTTATAAAATGATGAGATATACATATGTTTAAATTACCTTTCTGTGATTGAAAAATGATGTTATGAGACTCTTTAGATGTTTTTTTTTTTATATATACATGAGACTCTTTAGACTTAATTTGTGACCACTTTGTTAAACAACAATTGAGAAAACGTAAAAGGCTTCTAAAAATTCTCCATTTTACAAATTGTAGTTTCTCTAAACCAAATCTACGTATATAACTAATTAATCTTACTAATTATTATTTGACTTGCATATTTTTTCATGATTTATATTTTTGTATATTATTTATATTTATATAATATATTTTTTGATTTTATCACAAACTATTAACAATACCTTCCAGGTTAAATGAAATTGATAAGATAATGGTAAACCGTCCAACTACTTTGAGTGAAATTGGTATTAAAGTATGAGAAATATGTTTTTAATGTTTCATGAAATCAAATTGTTTCATGCACATGCAAAAAGTGGATAGAATTCTTTTTTTTTTTCTCTTTTCTTTTTAGTGAAATTTATTCATTTTTTGGTATATTGTACGAAATAAAATTATCTTATACAACATGCAAAATATATTTCCTTTAAAGTATCGCTTTTGTAATTTCAAAATCTTGTAATTTCAAGATACTACAAGATTTTTTATTTTTTATTTAAAAAAAATTGTAGCATCTTTGTATCTTTTAACTTTTAATTATTTTGTACTGTCAAATGTATTTTCAGTCAAAATGTAGATTGGTGTTATCATAGGTAATTGTGAAACCCATATTATGATCGAGTTACAAAGAACTTTTCGATTCTTTTAATTTTTTATGAAAAAATTACAAATAATTGAAATTAAAATTTCTGATTTCACAATTCTTCTAAGATTCTTATGATATTAAAAGTATTAAAATTAACAAAAAATATAATTAGTCAAAATTAAAAATTTTAGAATATGAAAGTATAGAACAAATAAAAAAAAGGATAAATTTTGGCCTTAATGATGCATTTAATGCAAAATTCAATATATTACCGGTTTAATTTTTTTAACAAAATATTTAGAAAAATGTGAAATGTCCTTAGAAGTGTACATGTTTAGGTGTCTCAATGAAACAGGTAGAAGTCAATTTAATAGTGATGATATTTGCTAACTTGTTGATAAATTTTATTCTAGAGATTTCACATAACAGGAAAAATTGCATTTGAAGATGAAGTTACAACATTTTGAACTTGATATTTCTAAACATCCACATATAATTAATTTATCAACTACATCTGAATTATGTCAAGGGATAACAAGGATTGGAAAATTCATCATTTACCCTCTTATTGATAGAGTGATTAGACTTGTACTCACTCTTCCAATTTCTACAGCAACTACTGAAAGATCTTTCTCAGCTATGAAGATAATCAAGACCAGGCTCTGAAATAGAATGGAAGACCAATTTCTTGATGATTCTTTGATTTCATACATTGAAAAAGAAATTGTTTTAAATTTTAGTACGGATTCAATTATAGATGAGTTTAACAATATGAAAATACGTAGAGTAAGAGTCAAGTGAAGTAACCTTAGTTTCTATAATAGATTTCTTTTGATTTTTGTATATAAGGTTTGTATTGTATTTCAAATATTTTTAATATGATATAGTATTTTTTATTTTCGTCTCCTCTCATTAAAATTTTTGGCTCTGGCACTGTGTCTCGTCAGCTTATACCTCACTTATGAAAAAACCAAAATGTATGTCTCATATTGCATTTATTTTTGTACATATCACACATTAATTTAATATTTTTAGGGTTTTATTAGTGTTATGTAACATGATGTAAGTGTTGTTTCCAACTCTCACATCAAAATAGAGAGAGAAAGTAGAATGATGAAAGAGAAAGAAAAACATATGGACCCCACCTCTTTAATGTGTGTGTAGGAAAGTAAAGTTATATTATGTTAAATGATAAACATAAAACCCATATTTTTAACATATTTACTAATCTAATACAAGTGAAATGTATATATGGAGATTTGTTGCATGTGCAAAAATAAACGCAATACAAGCAACGTACGTTATTTTGATCTTTGCTACGCCTAAACGCGCATACTTTTATTCGTGTTTCACATTTTGTTAAGAGTAAACACTTTTTTTAGTCCCTGTCAATATCTACGAAGTCCTTTTTAGTCCCTGGCAATAAAAAAGGACCAAATTGGTCCCTGAAATTACAAAAAAAGGGGTCATGTTAGTCCTTATGTCAACTCCCAAATATGTAGAGTGGCCCTTTTCTTGTACTTTCAGGGATCAATTTGGTCCTTTTTTATTGCCAGGGACTGAAAAGGATTTCGTAGATATTGCCAAGGACTAAAAATGGTGTTTACTCGTTTGTTAAAGGCTCATGTGATGATATAGATATAAAGTGATGCGTCACAACTAAAAAAAATAAAAAATTAACAGCATAATTATCAAAAAAATCTAAGACATAAGATATTAATCTCCAATAACACTATTATTTCCCTTTGATAAATAGTTTGTTAAAGAAGAATTACTTTTACATTATTACAGATGAGAAATGTTATACTTATTACCTATTTTTTTATTATTTATTATTACTACATCTTAATTGTAATTTTTGTTAATTTATCGATTATAATTTATTATAAAATAATAATTAATTAATAAATATGACCTCATAAATTATAACTATTAAATTAACAGAAATTAACTATTAAAATTTAGTAGTAATAAGTAGTAAAAAAAAATAGATAATTAATATAACATCTCCTGTTGTACTAGAGAGCCAAAAATTTGTCGCACCTGACCGACACCGAAAGATGAGTGAACCACTGCACAAGTCCGTAGGAGCATCTGAAGCTTGTCCACGCCAGTTTCGCAGCATCTTCGAGGAAAGAATCACACAAGTGTGAGTGGATGAGTGGTGGGAGAGAAAGTCTTCGACGATGATTATGTATGAGTTCTTCGAAACAAAGTGGGTGAACACCACTTTGATGAAAAGCTGAGTTATGATTTCTCCTTAATAAAAATGATGAATTTGTTTACAATTCAGGTGCTCTGTTCTTGATTAAGATGTGATGATTGTGAGTTATAGTTTATGGGCTGGTTTGATCTTGGTGTTTGATGATGAGGCATTGTTTTACTTGGTATAGCACATTTGCTTTGACCAGATTCGTTTAGCTAACTTGTTTTTCTTCGTGTCATATCATCATGACACAGCAAACACTACCTCATCCTTCTTCCTTCACCTGTGAATGCACTTATGATGTCTTCCTCAACTTTAGAGGTGTTGATACACGCCACAATTTCACTGGTAATCTCTACAATTCTCTTCATGAAAGGGGTATTCACACCTTCTTTGATGATGAAAGACTTAACAAAGGTGAAGAAATCACACCATCTCTTTTCCAAGGCATACAAGATTCTAGGATTTTCATTGCTGTTCTCTCTAAGAACTATGCATCCTCTACATATTGTTTGGATGAACTAGTCATGATCCTTGAGTGCTCAAAGGCACAAGGACGGTTGTTTTGGCCTGTTTTTTATGATGTGGACCCATCACAAGTTCGGCACCAGAGTGGCACTTATGCAGAAGCTTTGGCTATACTTGAGGAGAGGTTCAAGGATGACAAGGAGAAGGTGAAAAAATGGAGGGAGGCTTTATGTCAAGCTGCTAATATGTCTGGATCTCATTTCCAACACGGGTATCTCACAGACTCACATTTTTGTTGTTTCCCCCAAAGATATAGCATGTATGAATGTTGAAGGAAATATAATGAATAGAGACAATTCTTTGTATGCGATTAATTTTGGTTACTGTGCATGAACTAATTAAACACTAATACAACTTTAATTTTGTGTAATGTGCAGTTCTCAATCAGAATATCAGTTTATTAAAAAGATTGTTGAAGAAGTCTCTAAAAAGATCGATCGCACTCCTTTATATATTGCTGCTAAAACGGTTGCATTAGAGTCTCGAGTGCTAGAAGTGACATCTCTCCTAGGACTCGGATCTGATAAGGGAGTGAACATGGTAGGCATTCATGGAATTGGTGGGATAGGGAAATCAACACTTGCTCGTGCTGTATATAACTTGATTGCTGATCAATTTGAAGGTTGTTGTTTCCTTGCTAACATACGAGAAAGGGCAATTAATAATGATGGTCTTGTACAACTCCAAAAAGCACTACTCTCTGAACTGCTTGGGGTGAAAGATATTGAAGTGGGAGATGTTTACAGCGGAATTCCAATAATAAAAAGGAGGCTTCGGCAAAAGAAGGTCCTTTTGATTCTTGATGATGTTGACAAACTGAAGCAGTTAGAGGTAATTGCAGGAGGATGTGATTGGTTTGGCTCTGGCAGCAGGATCATAATCACAACAAGAGACAAGCATTTGCTAGCCACTCATGGGATTGTAAAATCATATGAGGTTAAACAGTTGAGTGACGATAAAGCTCTTGAATTGTTTAGTTGGCATGCCTTTAAGAAAAACAAAATTGATCCAATTTATGTGGATATTTCAAAAAGTGCAGTTTCTTATGCTCGTGGCCTTCCATTGGCTTTGGAGATGATAGGTTCTCACTTGTTTGGCAAAAGTTTAGAGGTATGGAAATCTGCATTGGAAAAATATAAAAGAACTGCTCATAAAGATATCCATAAAACACTTAAAATTAGCTATGATGATTTGGAAGACGATGAGAAGGGAATTTTTCTTGACATTGCTTGTTTCTTCAATTCTTATGAAATAAGTTATGTCAAAGAAATACTATACTTACATGGTTTTCATGCGGAAAATGGTATTCAAGTGTTGACTGATAAATCTCTCATAAAGATTGACCTTAATGGTTTCGTGAGGATGCATGACTTAATTCAGGATATGGGCAGAGAAATCATTAGGCAGGAATCAACATTGGAGCCTGGCAGATGCAGTAGATTATGGTTTAACGAAGACATTGTTCATGTTTTGGAAAATGATACGGTATGTTAAAGAACATCTGGTTGGTATTTCTTCTCTTCGATGTCCTTTATTTACGCATTTTCATTAATATTTATTAGATTGCTGGATTCTTAGTTCTCTGTTCTCAGTTTCAACAGTTTGCTGAAATTTATAGATTTAACCAGATTATATGTGGATGACATTCATAAACTTCACATTCTACTTATGATTTGGAGTTGATAGGGAACTGATACAATTGAAGCTATAATCATCAACCTGTGGAATGACCAAGAAGTGCAGTGGAGTGGAAAAGCCTTCGAGAAGATGAAAAACCTGAGAATTCTTATAATCAGAGATGCACGCTTTTCTAGAGGACCTCAGAATCTACCAAATAGCTTGAGAGTGCTTGATTGGAGTGGGTATCCATCACTGTCTTTACCATCTGATTTTAATCCAAAGAATCTTGTGATACTTAGTCTGCCTGAAAGTTGCCTTAGATCATTTAAACCACTCAAGGCATGTATTCTCTTAAAATATTTTGTATCTTTTAACAGATTTTTGTTGGCCTTAAGCACTAATATGTATTTCCATTTGCAAACTCATAATTTGAGTCATCGACTTTTGTTTTGTAGGTGTTTCAGTCGTTGAACTTTATGGATTTTGAAGGTTGCAAGTTCTTAACTGAACTACCTCGCTTAAGTGGTGTACCAAATTTGGGGGCACTTTGTCTTGATAATTGCACCAATTTAATTAGAATTGATGGTTCGGTTGGATTTCTTGAAAGGCTCGTGTCGTTGAGTGCTCGAGGATGCACGCGGCTAGAAATATTGGTTCCCTCTATCAACTTGACATCTCTAGAAACTCTGGATCTGAGTGGTTGCTCGTGTCTTGACAGCTTCCCAGAAGTTTTTGGAGTAATGGAGAATATAAGAGATGTTAATTTGGACAAGACTGCTATAGATGAATTGCCATTTTCAATTGGAAATCTTGTGGGGCTCCAACGATTGTTCTTGAGGGAATGCCAAGGGTTGTTCTATCTACCAAGTAGCATCCATAGATTGTCTAAACTTGAGGTAATAACGGCTTATGGTCGTAGGGGATTTCGCTTATCTGAAGATAAAGAAAAAGTGAGCTCAAAAGTGTTTCCAAACGCCATGCTTGTTAATTATCAAGGCAATAGATGTTGGTTCTGCCTTGATGTGTATTATCTTAATATAAGTCCCAATAATGTCATAGAAGTAGGTAGACCTTCGTTGATTCCCTCTGTGCAAATTGATGGGCTTTTGGTTCCTCATTCCCTATGGGCTAAAACGGTTAAAGGAGAGTGGGCAAGTTATTATGGCAGATTTACAAGTAATGGAACGCGGATGTGTTTTTGGTTCCGAAACAAATTCCCCAAGATAGGTGTGTGTTGTGCTAGACAACCTGGCACGTATGAAGACAATATGGTGTTGGATTTCAAGCTCAGTGTAGTCATCAATGGCACTAAGCAATTCAGTTCTTCATGTAACTACGTAGTTTCTAGACGAGGAATGAGGGATATAATGCTTAGCTGTGATCTACAAAGCAAAGCGGAGAGTGTATTTTCAGAGCATGAATGGAATAAGGTAGAGATTTTTTGGGATTCAATATACCCCATCACATGTGATTCTGAAAGGGTGGGAGCAACAAAGAGGAATCTAATGCAGTCCTTCATTTGTCTCTATGAAGGAAACAACAAGGAGGATATCCAATTTGCATAAAGGAATGTCAAGAGATGCAGAGAATAAAGGAAAAGCCGTTCGGTTCGTGCTTCTTCTCCAATGTCGCATCTGCATCATCTTGTAATATGTTTGGTACGGACAATGACGATTTTCTTTTTCTTTTTTTTTCCCCCAATGATTTGATATATGAAATTTAAGTAACACGTAAGTCTTTGATTTTATGCATAATTAAATCTAACTTGCTCTAATCCTTCTATTCTATTCTATTGGTTGCATACCACTAAAACTTTCCAAATGTTTGGATCAATTTCATGTGACTAATATTCATATGTTCATAAAACACGAGATTAACTATGAATAACATTCGAACACATTATTGTTAAAGGATTCAGCTCCAAATCAATACTTAAAATCTACCGTAACTATGAATAACATCTTATGTGATCTAGAGTAATAGATGAGAGTGGATGTTTAATCCAAGGTGGGGAAGTGGCGGTTTCTGTAAGAGCCTAGATGAGTAGAAGACCAAGAATCAATTACCTTGGTCAAGGTGCATTTTGGCACCTTCTTATTCATGCCGATTGTTGGGATAATTTTATGGTTGGTGCATAGGATGATTGGATAAAAGCAAACTTGAATGGCAAAAAGGTTGTTATGGATGAGGAGGAATGGAAGCAACTTTTTGGTATTGTGTGTCGTCTTATTTGAAAAGATAGGAACAAATTTGTTTTTGAGGATAGGAGTATGGAGCCATATTCCATTGTTCGCAAGGCAGTTTGCTTCAATCCAAGTATGGTTTAGGCGAATCATATTTTTCAACACGTAGGTCTTCAAGGTAAACCAGAGAAGATAACCTGTTGGAAATTTACTACTTCAGATTGCTTCAAGATTAACACACACACACACAAAAATGTTACATTATATACAAAAAAAAAAATGTTACACTAGGAATGGTCTTTGAATTGGATGTGGTGACTTTATCCGATATTATAATGGGAGATGGGTTGTAGGTTCTCCAAAAACCTTGGCGGCAGAGGCAATACTTTATCATCAGAATTATGGGGATGTCTTGTGTACTATTAGTGGTACATAAATGTCTCACTGAGGGTGAAGTATATTGATATAGGGGTGTTCATAGTAACCATGGTAGAGACCAAGGCACTAGTGGAGCTTCCCATGTATGTGCTTAAGGGGAGTGTGTGTATGGCTAGGGTTGTTCTGCCATAATATTTTTGTAACTTCGTAAGTATTAAAAAAAATCGTTTTATTTGACCGCTACAACTTCGATGGCTCAATTGTGCCTACTCTCTTCATACTACTCACTCTTCTACCCCAAAACCAAACACCTATTTTTCTTAGCTCCCTTGCCTCATTCCTTAGCTTCATCTTCTCTCTCTCTCTCTAACCGCAAGAACCCATCGTTCTCCCATTCTCACGTTCGTGGCCCAAACTTTGGATTGGGCTCAGCAAGAAGAAGCCAACACTGTCACCGTCGAAGACGAAGAAGAAGAAGGTTTCAATGAAACTGAAGCGGGTCTTTCGGAATGGGAACCCAACGGCAAAGACGCTGAGAGCGGCGAAGAAGTAGAAGGTGATTGATTGTGTTTCCGATTTGGATTATGTTTTGCATTTGAATTTTCATATAAAAATCGTAAGCTGGAGAGATATATTTCTAATTGTGTTTTGTGTATGGATTGTGGACATCATGTTTGATGAAATGTGAAAATGGCAATTTATTTGATGTTTTTACATATTGGATTCTTGTTATTTTCACTGATGAATTGTGTATTATCTTATTGTTCAATTTTTATACATGAGAGCTTTTGCTTATATTTTCTCCTTTAAATGAATTGGCTTCTGATTTCTTTGTATGAGGACTTACGTTTCCATCCCTGTGTATGATTTCTTTTGCTTATAAGTTCACATTCTTATTCACTACATTTTTAGATGGTCACCTCTTTTCTAGATTGGTGTTGGACTTTTTGCACTATTTTCATTGGTGAGAATCATAATCACAACTCTGCTTTACATATATACTGATTATGAGGCTTTTCTTTGCTGTATGTTTAATGAAGTGAGTGTTTTTGCAGGTAGCTACATGATTAAAGGTGAGTTTCGCATTATTGCGAGTCATGGATATAAGCTGGTACGTTCTTTGAGTTCCACCTAAGATATAGGGAACATATCAAGTGGAGGAGTGGTTTATTGTGAGAATGAGAGGAGAAAATCTTTAATATTAGATAGTACGTGAATAGTCAATATTAGAATATTAAGTCACTTGACCCTTTTAATTAAGTGATCACATGACTTTTAAATAACTTCTATTAAAAATGATAGGACACCACACGACTATGGTACAACATATAAAAACTCAAATCTTAATTCAAAGAGAGAATCAATTCTTTAAAACTTAGCTTGAATCATTGTAGACATAAAATGCTACAAATAGCATTTTAGGGACTGGTGGCTTGCTATTGGAACAAATAGCATCTCTCTATTTAAATCACACACTTCTTTGCATTATCTGTCTTGACATATGCTTGTGAATAATTTAATTTTTAGTTTTTACAGATGTCAAGGCCAAACCTCACGGGATCTAAATCCAGCTTGAGCGGAGTTAGAATTTATTTTTTGTGAATTTTTGTTTCTGCATTTATTCTGATTAAATGTACATATATGGTGCCAAGAAATTGTTTTTTCAATTTAATATCAGTATTTTTATATTTCTTTTTTTTTAATTTTTCTTATAGTGAAAGTGACAGCATTGTTGTATAATTAGGGAGTTTGCTGAGTTACATCAAAATTGTATAAATTGATTCCTATTTAATAATAGTTGTATCTTTGCATTTCGAGAGGACACACACACACGGGGTATCAAGTTAATATAGTTTCAACTTTGAGCGTGTAGTTAGAGCTTATTTTTGTTTCTTTCCTCACTTAATTTCCTCTTCTTTAGGTTATAAAAGGCATTGTTGATTACAAGGCTATGATTACAAGGAAACACATTGTATGGATTCAGAGGTGGTCCTGCTGGCATTATGAAAGCGCAAATACGTTGAACTCACCTCTGATTATATTTATCCTTATAGATATCAGGTCCATTTTTTCTTTTTCATAATTTTTTGAAACGTAATCGTGCTTTCTTAGCTGAATTTTCGAAATGGTTGTTTTGGATTTATTTGAAATAAAAAAGTTTATTTACCTGTCACCTCGTATTGGTGGAGATGATGACTCAAAACACAAATGCATGCCTCCTTGCTGAGAACTTCAGGTTAGTTTTTACGAAATTTTATTTATGGCAGTCTGTGTTCTAGGAAGTTTTGTTAATGAAATGGTGTTTTCATGTCAGTTTATAATTTACCTTCAGTCTTAGAATATAGTGATTATCAGAAAGATCGAATTCTAATTATATATAGTCATCATTTGGATATTAGAAATTATTTTGGAAGTAGTTTATCCATTGAATTGAATAGTACACTCTTGAGTTTTGAACCCTTAAATGCAATGGCTGGGTTAGGAGTCTTGCTACATATTTGAGATTAGTATTTTTTGAATTTCTTCGAATTAGTTTCTTTTGAAAATACAATGTATATATGATGATCTTCTTCTTCTTTTTTGCATGTCTTACAATTTTACTTTTGCATTGTTCCTTTAATTGTTTAACAGGTTTGTGAGGCCCTCAAATATGAGTGAACAAAGAATAAATAAAATACATTGAAGGAAAGTATGGAAAATTTGGAGTTGATAGGTATACAACTTAATCTGCTTTACCATCCTTAACTGATTCATACTTGTGATCTTTATACAATCTTCTCGGTTTTCATTTTTATTTTTACTACCAAAAGCAGTCGAACAAGTGCAGGTATATATTATATGTTATGAATTCTTGTAGAGAATTTTCCATATTATGAATTCATAACTAAAATTTTTTTTGGTTCCCCTCAGAATGAACAACAACAAGCGCGGCGTGCTTGCTCGTTTGAAAACCCTGATCAACTCACAGGTACACTTAACTAACACTGCTTTCTCTTCTCTTATTTTGGTTGAGACAATTTCTCAAACACCTTGTGACTTTGGACATCTCTTTCTAAACCCAACCTTCTGTTTGGCCTTGAATTCTTTGTTGCAGAGCTTCCACTCTCTTTTGCCCAAAGGAAGAGGACAAGGTAAAGTGTCTCCAGAAATAGACACTTTAAGTGTTTTACTTGAGGTTGTTAACTAGGCATGTTCAAAATGTCCAAAAGAATCTATTCCCTATTCTTGACAGTACTGCCAGTGTTGTGACCGTCCGAAACACTATTCGAAGGCTGAGAGAGAAGACTGAAAGCTGAGAGCAATTTACAATATTCATTTTGTTTTCAAATCCTATGTATAAATTTTGTTGCTTATTTAAAATTGTCACATTATTTTTGGATAGTTTGATGGAGAATAGAACTTTGGAAGGGTTTTGTTAAGTATTTTTGTAATATTACTTCAGATATTCGAATGATACCATTACGTTTTTGTAGTCTTGCTTCATCAGAAGGGGAATGAGTCAGTTTCTCTTTATGCTTTTGCTTCTCGTTCTTTTATTACCTTATGGTTGCTTTTCTTTTTTCTGTATATACGGGGAAGTTATATCTACTGGTTTTTTTTCTGCATAAATATAAACTATGATTGGTGTTGCTTTTGGATAACTAGTATTTAACAATTGTTTTCAAGGAAATGTTAAGAGATCAAACAAATAAATAATAAATTGGCTAACAAATCAAGTGATGGGGCCCAATTTCAAAAGTATGATATACACACTTTTCAAATTTGGATAACTAGTATTTAGTGGAGGCTTAAATATGCCAATATAATAAATAAATTGTAGCAGTCTATGCCCTCTAAAAAATGAATTTTGTGGAGGTTACTAAATCCCAATAAATAATACAACATTTGTGGGGGTCTTAAACCTCCAGAAAGTGCAATATTTGTGGGGGTCTCGAACCTCCAGAAAATACTTTAACAAATTGTGGCACTGCACAAAAAATCCCCACAAACTATGTTGTGGCGAAGGCAGAACTGGGGATTTGAAAGAATGCCACAAATGTCTTTTGTGGGGGTCAAAGACCTCCACAATATGAAAATATGACCTCCACAAAATGCCTGAATTTTTGTAGTGATAACACTCGTTGAATGTATGATAAATATATATGCTCCCTTCTTCAAAAATAAACTTGCTGGTGACAAATAATATTGTAGATAAAAGCTTCTGGAGAGAATAAGGCGTTCCAAGAGAGAAAGAGGCTGGTAGTCTTCACGGATGATAGATATGTATGCTCCCTTCTTCAGAAATAAAACTTGCTGGCGATATGAGTGTATAATAAATAATGCCCAGTGACTTGGGTCTTTGATGTCTGTTTGCTCCAATTTAAATCCTGCAACAACTAGTATAGTAGTGTATGAACGACGATAAAAATGTGCCTAGGTGGGGCGTTGGCCAGACGCCGGCCATCTAGGACTTTTGCCGAGGGATAGCACATCTCGGACTTTGTTTACGAGAACCATTCCGGTCTTATAGTGTACCGAGGGTGAGAACCGTCCCGGCCTTCATATAGAGATACATTTTTGTCCCGGGCTGCCGGTCTTCATTGTATACCGGGGGTGAGAACCATCCCGACCTTCATTATGTTTAAGCAACTCATATTAAAGTTATAATCATATGAAATTAATACCGATGCGGTAGAGAGAAATATGTATATGCTAGCGAAGAGATATTATTACTAGGTGTTGATAATAAAACCTGATAGTGTGAGCGAGTCTCGCTGGACACTTTGGCGTGTAAGTGCTAATCAGATAGCTTTGAATATGTTTGTTGATGAATGCCGATCTTCCTTCGCAAATAATTACCGGGCGTGAGAATCATCCCAACCTTCATAAATATTTACCGGGCGTGAGAATCATCCCAACCTTCATAAATATTTACCGGGCGTGAGAACCGTCCCGGTCTTCATAAATTTTTACCGAGCGTGAGAACCATCCCTGCCTTCGCAAATAATAACCGGGGGAGAGAACCATCCCGGCCTTCGCAAATAATTACCGGGGGAGAGAACCATCCCGGCCTTCATAAATAATTACCGGGTGTGAGAGCCGTCCCGGCCTTCGCAAATAATTACCGGGCGTGAGAACCATCTCGGGCTTCGCAAATGATTACCGAGGGTGAGAACCATCCCGGCCTTCATAAATATTTACCGGGCGTGAGAATCATCCCGGCCTTCGCAAATAATTACCGGGCATGAGAACCGTCTCAGCCTTCATAAATAACTACCGGGGGTGAGAGCCCTTCCGACCTTCATAATTAATTACCGAGCGTGAGAACCATCCCGGCCTTCGCAAATAATTACCAGGCATAAAAATCGTCTCGGCCTTCGCAAATAATTACCGGACATGAGAACCGTCCCGGACTTCATAAATAACTAGATGGGATGAGAGCCCTCCCAGCCTGATAGTGTGAGTCTCACTGGACATGCAGGATGTGCATTTGCCTGAGCCTCGCTTTACGTGAATTCTTCTAAAAAATAATGACTTTATAGCCTCCGCGCACTATCTGCTTCGTGATCATCACGTGATGCTTAAAGAATTCAACTTAATGTATACTTCTAAAATGCATTCAGGCATGGGCCCAACGGTTTGACTTTCTTCAAAATTTACCTTGACGTGATACGGGTCCCATGATGAATATTAGAAGCTTTCAAATACTAACTTGTTTGGTCTTCACGCATTACAAGGCTTGAAATTCACATGGTTGAATTAATAATAGTGGCTTTAGATGCACCGCGAGAAGATGTTGAAGCTTTGAATATTAGCCTTTACTATGCACGAATTTCAAGGCTGCAAATTCACGTGATTGCAGTGATGGATCACTTCACATTTTGCTGAAGATTTGTACGGGCTTCAAGGCTAGAAATTAGATGGCTTTATATCTACATTTTAGGATGCTTCAGATAGCTTGTACCAAGGTGGACCCCACGAAAAAAGGTTATACAACTTTACAAGCCAACTTGGGCTTTGGTTTGCACGGACATCGAGTTTAAACTTCACATGGGGACATAAAACTTGGCGTGTAACGTTGTGCTACTTTGATGAAGTTGCTTGTTGTCTCATACTTTTTTTTAAAAAATGAATTATCAGCAGATGGAAAAGATTTTGCCAGACTTTGGTGCGCACGGCGTCCACCGTGTCCTGCTGCTGGATCCAGCGCTGTAGGTGATCGGCTTCGGATTTGACGGTGGCGATTACAGGGTAGAGGGTGCGGATCCTGTGTGCACGGTAGGTGGATTGGATGGTGCTGGCGGCGTTGGATTGAGATGGGGAAGGGGGTTTCGCGGGAAAAAGGTGATTTGGGAGTCAGAGATTGCAGGCAGTGTTGGCTGAAAACTCATAAGATTATAGGAAATGGTTTTTGTTTCCCGGTGGGGGTTCGGTTCTTCCCTTGAATATTGTTGGCGCTTTCTCTGGTTATACCATTGGTTGCTATGTTGGGCGCTCTGGTTGTTTGAGCTTACTGCTTGTAAGATGCTCCGTATTTGGGAGAAAGTGGGTACGTTAATGCCAAAGAGGCTTGGGTGGGCTGGTATTGGCGGTGAACGACATTGGTGGTCGCCCTAATAGGTCATGTTGGGGTGGGTGACCGGCAAGAGAAGAGAGATGAGCCGCAGATGAAGAAATCACCGGCATTGGTGGTCGCCCGAAATTGATGGACGTTCGGAACTGGCGGTGGCTTGTTTGGAGGTTGGGTCTTCGTTGGGCGGTTGATGGCTTCCTGATCGGTTTGTTCACTATTGGGCGGTTGCACTTTAGAGTGGCCGGTTGGAGATTCGAATCTGGCGGTGGCTTTTCTACGTGGTTTTCTGGTTGGCAAGTGGCCTGTGACCGGTAAGTGGAGACTTGAAATTGGAAGAAGAGCTGTCATCATGTTTGTTAAGAATCTGATTCTTGTGTTGCGACTGACCTGGTGATTAACAGGTGTTATAGACAACTTCCTTTACGCTCCTTTGATTCAAAGAGATAGGGCGTACTTTTATAACTAACCCTCTCTTGATTGGTATATAAAAGAATGCGCCCTTAGCATGTTCTTTTTTTCCCCAACGGTGTCTCCTCCCATAAGATTAATTCTCTTCGTGGCTTAAAACATGAAGGGGGTGTTTGGTTGAAGTAAAAAATTTTAATACTAGAAAAATGCAAATACTAGGGATTTGCTGGAAAAATGAGTTAGATAGGAAAGTTTTAAAAAAAGTTGTTTGGTTGGGCAAAATTGTACAAGGAAAATTGAATGAAATTTCTGAATGTGTAGATAAAAAATTGATGGGAAAACTTAATGAAATTACAAAAATATCCTTATAAAAACACCTTGGTTTTATTACAACCTTCCAACGGCCTATGAAGTATCGACACTTCAAAAATTTCAACGTGTCGTGTCCGATACTCTCCGACACTTCAACACGCATTATAGAAACTCAAAAAAAATAAAGATTCAAAGGTTGCATTGCGTTTTTAATTCTAACTATTAAATTCGTTAGATTATTATTATCATTTTATTGAATTTAATATAAATATTTGTGATATCTTATATTGTTTTGCAAAATTAATGACTATTATAAGTTTAGCTTTATTTTTTTAACATTAGTTTTATTTTTTTGTTAAATTATTGAATATTAAATATAATATACGCAACATAAATTAAAAATATTATTCAATATCAAAACGTGTCTTAACGTGTCGGAATCTAACATTTTTTAGAATTAACGTGTCGAAGTGTTGTGTCGTATCGTGTCCCGTATCCCGTGTCCCGTATCCCGTGTCAGTATCGGTACTACATAGCCAACGACAATAAAATAGAAACAGAGGAAAAACACAAGGAGAATCACAAGAAGCAACAAAGCAACTCCAACCGTGACTCCAACAACAACCCATTTCGTGGAAGATCCTGAACCTCCATTCCCTGCCGGAGTTGTTGTTGTTGGCGGCTGCGGCGGAGATTCTGTTGGAGACACCGCTGTTTGTATCTTGGTTGGTGGCTCGTGTTTGAGAGGGATCAAAATAGGTGTGAAGAAGAAAATAACGGAAGTAGAAGAAATCTCGTTTGCATCCAAAATGCTTTGTTCGCCGACACCAAAGATGTCAGCAATGGAAGAAGTTGATTCGCCATCAGAGACAATAAAGGGTAAACTTGTCTCCTTTTTCATCCCCTTTTTCCATTTATCCGGATTTCACAAAAATACCATGGTGGGTGAGGGCTTCTTCAACAGTGACTTTGTTCCATTTTTACACGCATCTGTGAATAGCTAGGCAACGAGGTTTGATGGATAAAATTCACGTTATCCTCAACCAAACGTGGAGAAATGGGAAACCCACATGCACTTCGCTGGGATAATTTTCAGAACTCCTGAACCAAACACTACCAAAGGGTTTTGCCATTAGGATTATGGGAAAAAGAAATATCATTTTGAATGACACAAGCTTGTGTCATTTTAGGTGTTTTACACAAAGTACGACCGGTCGTACTTTGTGTAAAACTGAAAAATTGCTTTTTTTTCTCTCCCCAGTCACATCGCTGACGTGTAAAGTGAAAAAAAAAGTAACTTTTCAGAATTACAGAGTACAACTGGTCGTACTCTGTGTAAATCACTAAAAGGACACAACTTATGTTCTTTTGAATGACACACACTAAATCTTAGGATTATTCAACCTTAACAGTCCGCACTTAAGCACAACTCATTTACCGTGCCACCTTTTGGAGTTGCACTTAGCTTCTTTTACATTTTTTGTCTTTTAGATTTTCTTGTATTTTCAAAAAAAAAAAAAAAAACATATTAACCTACCCCCACAATAATAAAATTACGAAATTACATTTTCTATAAATAAAATAAAATAGTAATAAAAATAACTAAAATATTTAGCATTTGAAAAACATCAAAAACTAACTTGTGAGATTTATTTGGAGTAAAAAGAAAAAAGGACAATTAAAATATTGTTTCTACAATAAATGTAAATAAATTATTTACACTCACTCTCAAAATAACGTCATTTTGTATTCAATATAAATAATTTATTATAATTTACAAAAAAAAAAAAAAAATTATTATCTATATTGACTGCAAAAAAAAATGAACCCTAAAAATATTACAAGCCTAGGAAAAAGAAATAAAGTTATTTATGTATAAAGCTCTTTTTACAAAAGAAAATAAACAATGATATTTACATGTCAACGAAAAAAAATTCGAAAAATAAAAACTCAATCACTAGAAGTTGTAATTTTGTTTGACTTATGCTCCTACAACGACGGAAGACCTAAAACCTAAAGTAATATAGGTCTTCAAAATATTTTATTTGTAGATTGGCAAATTTTATTTAATTACAAAATAAATATAAGAAAATTTTATTTAACAATGAATTAATTTTCAAATATAACATGCTAATTCGCATACTGATCAAGAAAATAAATTAAACAATTCAAGAATAAAATAATATAATAAAATAAAATCTAATGGAACTGATCCAAGGACACAACAATTTTTATTCCTTCATTTTTATATTTTTGCTTTTTTGGCAATTTTTCAATATCATTTTTTATAACTTTTCTCTACTTTTTTAAATCTTATTGCTGTAACGAAAACATGCCTATTCTGTTATCAAAAAAAAAAAAAAAAAAACATGCCTATTCAAAAACAACTTAATGAGTCTTTGCCTAAAACTTTAAAAATATAGCAATTGGTCCATCAAAGATAATTCTTGAATTCCCTTCTTTAAAATTTAAAATTTATGAACTAATGATGTGTACCTTTATTTACAAGTTCTACCTTTTTCTCTTTTAATCTATACTTTAAAAAAAAATAAGAAGTAATCCAATGCAATCCCCAGGAAAACCCAAGATGTAGCTAAAAACAAGTTATTGATAAAATTACATCAGTTAGAAGGTGAAGATTTATAATAAAATGTAACAATTATAATATAAACAGAAGAGCAACCAATCCATTTCTAAAGACTTGTATCATTGCCCGCCCATTAAGTGTTTGGAGGAACAAGTATTGAACAAATTGGATCACCACTGCTTATATAAAGCTGCATTTTGAAAATTACCAAGGCATATACATATACTGATTTATGTTCTGAATCATGATCTACCAAACTGCTTAAAAGAGAACGAAGGAAAATAATGAGCCAGACAAATGCACGACAGAAGCTGGAATATGCAGAGATTACAGCCATCCCCCTTCCATTTTCTATGGATGGAGTAAATAACATTAGGGCTGTGCTGAATGACCCTCCTAAGAATGAAAATTTTAATGCCCCGCATAATGTATTATTCTCATACCATAACCTTCTCCATCTCAAGTGATAAGGGGATTAGGCAACATGTACGGAGTTTTAGATAAAGACGTTTAACAAAGCGGTGCAAGAAGCCAAAATTGAACCATCTAGAAATGAAGATGGTGTGCACTTACCAAGTTGAAGTTAAAATGGCTTTCCTTGCAACAGTTGTTATTTGGGTTTATCCCCAAAACCACTACCACGAAAATCACCAAAGCTGCTGCTTTGGCTTGATTTTCTGTCACCAAATTGACCAGAGCCAAAATCTCCAAAACCACCAGAACGATCTGAACTACCAAATCCCCCTAAACCACCTGAGCGAGAATCTCCACCAGATGTAGTTCCTGGTTGACGTGAACCAAAGCCACCAAAGGAACCAGAACGACCAGAGCTTGGTCCACCATACCTACCCATTTCACCGGAAGAATTACCAGAAAATCCCCCAAAACCCCCTCCTGACTGACTTGAACCTCCAGAACGACTAGAATTTGATCCTCCAGAATTTCCATAGCCGGATCGGCCAAATCCAGAGTTACTGTAACTCCCAGAACGGCCAGATCCAGAACCACGACCAAAACCTGTACCACTAGATTGACGATTCCTCATACCCCCTGAAGGGCCAAATCGACCACCACTCATGCCGCCAAACATGTCTTCTGATCCAATTTTAACATCAATCTTTGGTAGCTGACAAACAAGAATATTGACATAAGATGCAAGCAGTTAATCGTTATATAAAATAAAACATAGTATTTTAAAAATAAAAATAAAAAATAGAAACCTAGAATATAAATAGCGTAGGAACGGCAAAAGAAACTCAGTATCAATAACAATAATTATAGTCGAAGAAGCATGATTTGACGCATCATATGCTTTGATACAATCTCATGTAGAATAAAATGTAACACCACAGTCAAAATCAAGGGTCCATAATATCCATCTATTGATTATCAGTTTGAAAATGACTCCATTGTCTGTCAATCCAATTCGGTTAATATGATATATCACTACATGTCAATCTATCCATCTCATGATCATAACAACGAGCTCCTGCTTCTTGCTTATTAACGTTTCTCAATTTTTTATTCCCCCCTGCTGCTCCATTAGAAGTTACTGAGAATATGCTGGCCAAAGCGTTCAAAGTAATATATAAAGCATTCGAGAGCTATTTCCACAGCCTAAAATTTGACACAACACAATAACCTTCTCTTATTAATTATTCAACAAAAATATAACTTCAACCTTTTTCAGATCACCCATAACCAAACCCTAGAGTTCAAAATTCTAGGTTTTTACCTAAACATCTTACAAGAAATACTTTCTGTCAACTCTTTACTCTTCACATTCCAAGAAAAACCTATAACTACTAGGTTTAAAACAAGTTTTAGTGTGTATTTCAATACCATTTACTCCTTAAAACAAACCTAAAACTGAAGAAATATGCCTCATAAAATTAAGCATTCAGTTCATAGAACTTAGCGATAAGGGAATGTGCAGTCTGCATTGCAGTACTATCATTTCCTAATCATTTACCAAAAGTATGTAATATCCTGATCCTTTACCAAAACTATTTGTCATCATAATCCCATCACCATCATATTCTAATCATTCTCAAAGAGGCTTTTTGGTCTGAATTTTGCAGCTCGATCCCTCTCCCCAGCTGCATGTTATGAACAGTAAAGGCAAAGTAACCAGTTGAATTTGGATTAACAAGTACAAACATTAAAAATCTCTGAACCCATCAAGATAACAACCTGCATAAGCTACCAAAATTAATGATTTAACTTCTCACTTGCTCTATGTTGGCTGAACTTAGATATAGAAGAGTACTAGACTAAAGATTTTCAGCAACTTGAGTTTTATCAGTACTTAGCACACACTGGTAGTGGTAAACCTTGATCAGAGAGAAGACTGTCTTTCATGATTCCATCACATGCAAATCACAAGCTAGGGATACAACACAAAGTTCTCTAACTTGGAGGTCGCATGTTCATATCCCATTCTGAATGAGCTGGATGGAGATTTATGGCAAGAGGATTCGCTACCCATCTTTGTGTACTAAGGGACTAGAAAAATAATAACAAAGATAACTTCAAGTAAAAAAAGATGGAAATAGAACAGAAGCAAAGAGATCACCTCCTTAAATCTGCATCCAACATCACGCTCAATAGTCTTTAAAGCCCTGCCTTGATCTTCAGTGTAAACAAGAATAGCAGTCCCTTTCTTCCCAGCACGGCCCGTTCGTCCAGATCGATGAACAAATATCTCGGACGAATTGGGAAGTTCATAATGTATTACCTATATGAGGAAACCAAGTCAAAAATTTGCATACAGGCAAATTGAATAACAGCTTATGTCATTGTGTTTTGCATATACACAGATTCACAGAATATATTACTCGAAGCTACATCAATTCAGTAATTTATACAGAAATAATACAGAAATATGCAATTAATTTGCACCAAAATGTGACCATTCTCTCAGACCATTTGTGATGTATGTTCTTTCAATTCAATGACTCCCTTTCCATCCAAGATACTAATTCGCACATTCTAAAAAATAAAAATAAAACAAATATTCTATGAATTGGGCATCTATTACAATTTTCCCCATTTAAACTCATAAAGTACCTGAAGATTGAAGGACCAGATCTTTGAAGATTTCATGCTATCAATTGTGTGTCTAACAATACAAATCAGTATTACCTATGCAACATCTTTAACATCTACATTTGTTGAAGGAGCATAGTTGATTCAGCTAACCAAACTTCTACAAATTATGAGGAAATACAGCATATATGCCCAAAATCATTTCATCATCTCTACCATATTCATCTTGGAATCCATATGAAAATGAATGCAAGAGGATAATGTAAAGAATGCAGTTAATAGATGACGGAACTGTATTTCTATTAATGAACAGAGGAGACTGGCTCCTTACAGCAACACGCACAGAAAATTGAAATGCAATAAACATGAAATTACAAAAAGAAACAGAAAAATAAAAAGAAACTCCAGAGGTCTGCCAACTCAGAACCTCTATCCCCTTCCTAGCCCATTTACTCAATTCATGCCTACCTTGCACTACCTATCCTTCCCTCTTATATTCTCATTTTTTTCCTAACTGAATTCACATTTCCCATTATTTCCTTCCAACTCAGCATTCAGTTATGCCTAGACTTAACAACCTGAATATTCTCTTTTTTTTTATTAATTTATTTTTGTCCTTCACAGTCTATCAAAACTCCCCCGCAAGATTCACGTTGTCCTCAAGGTGAAGGAAGTGACACAAGTGTGAGAGAAACTACCACCTAGATCCCATTGCCAGAAGTCATTTGATCATTTCTACCAATATTCATCTTGGAATCCATATGGAAATGAATGCAAGAGGGTAATGTAAAGAATGCAGTTAATAAACAGTTAACCAATCAGAGGCCATCCAGTTGTTATGCATCGACCAATCTCACCTCCTCTGACATAGTATCCGATATGAGCTCTACTAATTTCATGCTTCCAATTAATTTTCACTGCAAATCAAATTATTTTTCCCTATGGATTATTTCAAAATGGAGCCTATATTTCAAATGAATTCACATTTAAATCCATTTAATATAATTTTTGCTAATGTTTTACTAAGTCATAAGTTACAAGCTCCTTCCTTCATAGTCTACTAATTTTTACATGGGTTCTTTCACAATGAAAACATCTAGTAGGACTGCGCACAAAAAAAAAAAAAAAAAAAAAACCACTCCCCGTTAAACCCGACTAGCAAGTGTCGGCTGGAGGAAATCCTTGTACGCAGCCTTACCCTTGCATAATTGCAAAGAGGTTGTTTCTTGGATTCTTGCATAATCCTAGTAGGACTGCACACCAAACAAAAAAACCTAGGAGGAATATCCTCTTCATTGGTTATGGGAATCTGTAATATTCATTGCAATTTTAATATTTTCCTTTCTCGAAATCACAAGTAATGGAACACAACATGACCAATATATCAATACACTTCTAAAATTTTAAAGAATTCTATAAAATTCTGTAAATGCATTTCAATCTCCATGATCTTCAACACAAAAATTAGCTATATACCTTCTTCATCCATCATCTATCTTTGTTGATGAATAAGCACACCATATTCCCCCAATTCCAATAAATCAAACAATTATTTCTTGAAATCATGTCATGTGGAAGCATTTCATGTATGTAAATGCAAATATTCTTAATTACGGACATCTAACAGTGTGTTGGTGAGCATGAAGGTAAAAGCAATAGAACACACCCACAAATCAAGACTCCAAATTAACCCGTCCTGATTGCAGCAAAAGAGATAGAATCGAGTAAAAGCAGACAGGATTCCAGCTCATTAGTTTCTAACTTTTAGGATCAAAGAAAAGTGAAGATTCCAAAAGAAATTGGAATCCCAAATCCAACAAAAAATATAGATGAGTAATTAATATAACAAGGACAAATAATAGTGGCAACTGGCAAGAAGCAACAAGAAAGGAAACAAGACCTAATAATTTTCCTTACCACTCAAATTTTAGGGAAATTCAAATATATACAGTTAACAAATATTTCAAATACATTAAGAAGAAAAAGTAATAACAAAGGAGAAACCATCATGTAGAAAATAATAGTTTTTTTTATCCTCCACCAACTATCAAGAAAAAAGGAATTGACCATAATATGATAACAAAACTATTTCAAATAAAAAAGTTTAGCAAAAGAGAACTTACAAGATCAACATTTGGAATATCAAGCCCACGTGAAGCAACATCAGTTGCCACTAAAACATTAAAATTGTTGTTTCTGAAGCCAGTAAGAGTTCTTTCCCTCTGAGCTTGTGAAATATCTCCATGCAAGGCCTCACATTTAAGGCTTTTTGCCATCATATATGATAATCGATCAGCATCACGTTTGGTTTGAGTGAAAACAATACATTTTCCTCCTTTTGCATGTTCCTACAAAACGATATCTCTTTAGGAAACCATAGTTATCAAATGCGGATTGCGGCATGTCGCGGCCAACCCCGAAAAACGCTATAGCGTTATAGCGGGTTGCTGTTGCGAAAATAGCAGAATAGATATATGACAGAAATAATGACAAAAACAAATATTTTTTAAAGGCAGAGATAGTAGAAGTGACATAGAGATGCGGATAGACTAAAAAACCCTTAAATTTTTTCTGTTACACATTTAAATTTAGGACAAAGTTGACATTTTGCCATATGACAGCAATATGGCCGCAATTGCGATCGCAATGGCCGCTATTGCGTTCCGGTGTGGCGCAGCGCGGTTTCTTGCGGCAAGGCACCGCAACGCCCATACGGCGCGGCTCGTGGCGCTATTGCGGCGCAATTAACTACTATGTAGGAAACGCAACAAAAGCATATCTAATCACCAGGTTACTTACCTAGTTTTCACTCTGAAGCAAAAGACAAAGAGAGAGATAAATAAGGACCAAACAGACTCAATATGAATCGTTTTCAGAGAATAAAGGGCAAACCCGGTGCACAAGGCTCACCAGCTTGCGAGTTTAGGGGTGAGGATCAATTGTAAGCAGCCTTACCCTTTTATTTTTGCAAAGAGATTGTTTCCCATACTCAAACCTGTGACCTTTCGGTCACAGGAACAACCTTATCGCTATTCCAAGGCTCCCCCTCAATCATTTTGACAGAATAAAAAAAAAAACTAACCTTTATAGCTATTTATAATAAAATAGTAATGATAATAACAATCATTAATTATAGCTAATGCAAAACTCAAGAGAAATGATAGTACTTGAAGTCATACGGTTATTAGAGGTGCAAGAATTCCTGCTTTAGCATACATATCAGACGCAATACAGCACAGCGATATTCCATCTGCCAACTTCTGATCAGAATCTCCAACCTGTGGCACCAATAAACTCCTAATTAACTTATTACCAATCAACTATCAAATTCAAACATTCTTATTTCCTCTTCATTCTTACACATTAAAAGTCATGGAAGATTGTGTACAGCAAAAAATATCAGTGTAGTTCAGTTCTTCATGCCAGATGTCAAGACAAGAAACCATTAGCATCCATCAGATTTACTTAAATATCAAACTAATAATTGAATGAAAATCTCATGCAGGAGCAAAAATTCCAAAACTATATATAATAATGCTTTCTATAACCACTTTTAGAGAATCACCATATCGTGAATCACAGTCTAATTTCAATAACCATTTCCAGTAAAAATAATTATCCAAAGAGGAATATAAAAACATCCAATTTCTTTTGAAGGTTGAGAACTTATATATATTAATTAAATTTGTTGCCAGTTGGAGACCGAACCTTAAGCTTTTGTTTGGTATTTCCCAATTTCTCATAAAAAAAACTATGAGTAAATACCATTTTGGGTCCCTAACAAAAAATAAGGTCCCTACTTTAGTCCCTTACAAAAAAAAATTAGTCAGTTGGTCCCTAACAAATTTCAAGTGGACCCAATTTTGTCCTTTTGAGGGACTAATATGGGTCTTTTTTGAAATTGTGAGGGACCACGATTTCAACTAAATGGGTTCACTTTGAATTTATTAGGGACCAACTGACTATTTTTTTTTTGTAAGGGACTAAAGTGGGGACCGTGTTTTTTGTTAGGGACCAAAAATGGTATTTACTCAAAAACTATTATACAGGACTAGGCATATTTCCCAAAAGATAAATGGCATTCGAAAACTGCAATAGCCTTTCTCTTAGTGCCAAAAACAGATTTAATACTTACAAGATCAATGGTCAGGGGGTTCTTAAGGTAATTGCGGGTAATATCCTTTATCCAAGATGGCATCGTAGCTGAGAACATAAGTGTCTGACGTTTTGAAGGCAACCTCTGCAAGATCTTCTCCACATCTTCTTGAAATCCTACTTGAAGCATCTGATCAGCTTCATCGAGAACAACAAACTGAACATCCTTCAAATTCAGTGAACCCCTGTTGAGAAGATCAATAATTCGACCAGGTGTGCCAACTGCAATATCTACGCCATAATCTAGCTGCCTCATTTGTTGACTGATGGGCATACCCCCATAAAGACAAATTGAGTCCAAGTTTGGTGCAGCCTCATTGAATTCCTTTTCAACCTGCCGCGCAAGTTCTCTGGTTGGTGCCAAAACCAAAGCCGAAGGATCCCTTCCTCGCCTGCCATAATGGACCACAAAAATTTGTGTAGTTAGACACACAAGTCAAGATTACATAATACCAATTATGTAATCCACCTTTAAGAAGAGAAACAAGGCTACAGATTCAAGTAAAAGTAACATGTAGGTGTAACTAAAATAACAAACCCATGCTTAGCATTGAACTGAATGATCTTATCCAAGATGGGTATCCCAAAAGCAAGAGTTTTCCCAGTTCCTGTTCTAGCTCGACCAATCATATCACGCCCTTGCATCGCAGGTTCCAGCACAGCTCTCTACAACAACAACGATAAATAATAATAAAGAGTAGCTCAAGCTCAAAATATAGCAGCAATTGGTTTTCGTGAAGTTTCTACAAACACACATATTTGCTTTCTTTCTCATTTCTCAACCAAAATATTTCAAACAAAAACTTTAAAATAATAGAAAAGTTTATCCGAACGTTAATCAACTCATTTCTGCACAGCTATTAATAATAATAATAATAAATAAATAAATTATTAATATAAAAAGTGGTCAGTTTACACCAATTGGTTTCGCGATACTCATCATTTCCCTTTTCCAAAAGAAAAAAAAAAACAAAAAAGGAACCTCAAAAGATCAATTAACAAATAAACCAAAGAAAAAAATAGTTAAAAATTTTCCATGAAAGTCGAAAAAAGACAGCACATAGAGCCTACCTGAATGGGGAAGAGCTTCGATATCCCTTTCTTGGCCAGAGCATCCACGATCTCCTGAGAGATCCCAAGCTTCGCTATCTCGAGGCCTTCGTCACACTTCTCACTGGAACCTTCATCGTCGTTGGAGTAATCGCGATCCACTGCATACTGTGCAGCATGTGAAACCAAAGACGAGTGGAAATTCAACGGTCCAGATTTTGCGTGAAAGGACCTGGCTCCGCCGCTCCTGAAGGGGACGGCAGCGGAGGAAGTAAGGCGTTGGTTGTGGAGGTACGGAAGAGGCTCGACGGAGGTGACGGCGGCGAAAAAGCGCCGCGAGAATATGGAAGAAGATCTTCTGAGGATAGCACTCGTCATCTTGTGTGGAATGGCACTTGATGACGAAGAAATGGGGTTTTTCTTACCTCTTAAGGTTTTGAAAAACTCTAAAATTTCTGAGATTTTAGGGTTTTAGCTGTAGGGTTTTAGGGGCTGGATCCGGTGTGGGCAAGCTTTCTCGATTTATGGGTGTACTTGCTGAGGATACAAATATAAATTAGATTAAAATGATGAAACCAAAATAAAAATGGAGTCGGTATATGATGCAAGAACTAGAAGGTCAGTAACATTTAGTTTTCTAGTAGTTTTTATAATTTTAAAGTGTTGATCGCATATTGATAATAAAATGAGAGGTCATACTTATTATTATTATTATTATCTCTTATCATTAATTTTATTATCATTAAATCGAAATTAAGTTAACAGTTCTCACTTAATATTATTTTGTAACTGTTAATTTGATTTTAATCTAAAAATAACAAAATTATACTAAAGGTAGTAAAATAAATAGTAGTCAACATAACTTATCTCATAATTTAAAGAGATTTTTAACTTCAACTTCTATAAATGTTACTAATTTAGACTAAAAAGTTACGAATAGAGTAATTATGAATTATACATAAAAATTTAACATGATTAAAAAGTTTTTTTTAATTCAAGAAAAGTGTTTTATATCCTTTACTGTAATTTTATATAAAATTATATATTTAAATTCTTACGTTCAAATAGTCTGAAATTATTTTTCAAAATATACCCAAAAAAAGATAGTTTTTCGAATTTAAATTTACTCTGTGATTGTATTCGAAAAGTATCACTTGGATATTATTATATTATCTGTATTAGTTTGTAAACTTTAATATAAATCTTCTTGTTTTTTTATTTCTTTTGTGAGACTTGTGACAGCAATTAATTTTTTTTTCTTAGTAAACATTTACCTTTTTAATCTTGATCAGTCCAAATACAATATGGGCTAGCCAATATATATCAAGCCTAATCACACACGGTTGAGATGTGGATTGTGTTCTTGGTCTTGGGCCTGGAGTTGTTGTTGGATATCACTATGTCTCTGTCCTTTATTGGCGCGATGAATCTGAATGGGGATACCTGCAAAGACACTCTGATGCTTAAGTCAGTATCAGAGGCAGGAGTTTGTATGTTCTTAATGTAAAGGATGATCGTACCTGGGTGTTGTACCCTCTGCTTATATAGCGATTATGATGCCGCCTTAGCAAGGCGGTATGGCCTTTGTTTGGCCAGGTTTGGGCTGCAGGTCAGGCTATATCCTGAGTAGCCTTATCTTCTTAATGTTGAGCTATAGAGTTGCAGTAAGCTGGTGTTGTCCTCTGTTTATTAGTTCAACGGCGCGGTGGTCTTGCCTTGGTTCTTAAGTTAACTTCCTCTTTCCTGGAGTTTATGCCGGAGGGCTGTTCCACGCGCGATGGGGGCATCGCGTCATGCCATGTGTGCGATGATGACCATCGCGCTTAGTTCTTGACCCTTCATGAGATTGGGCTTCTTTGTATGTTATTGGGCCTCCAATGGGCCTTCTATATTTTGTCCAAATCAAATCCCATTTATCTCCTCGGAGTTGACAATCCCTTTTCACCTCTTTAGTTATACACCGTGTGAGATAGATGAACATCATTTAGAAAGTTTGATAAATTCATTCACTTATCAAAGCTCTGAGTTCTCGACCGTGGAATGGTATGGCTCTACCAATGTTATTAAGGATGTATATGACAACCATTTTATTTCTTAGTACTGTTTCTGCAAAGAAACAATTTTTTTCTATTTCAGTATCTTGGAACAGTTTCTGAGAAAAAAATGTGTTTGATAACATGTTCTATTTTTATTCCGAGAATGAGAATTGTGTTTGATAACACAACAAATAATATAATAAAATTTAATTCCTATTAAATATAAAAAAATTGGATCATCACTTTCCTTTCCATATGGTGTGGTTGTGGTGGTGGCGGCGGGTGACATGGTGGTGGTGGCGGTGGCAGCGGTGGTACGGTAGTGGTGGTGGCAATGACGTGGTGAAGATAGTGGTGGTGGTTGTGACTGCAGTGGCTGGTGGAGGTGACGGCAGTGGCTGCTACAATAGTGGTGGATATGGTGGTTGGTGGCGGCAACAATGGTAGCAATGGCATGGTGGTGGTGGTGGTGGTGGTGGCAGTGGCTGCTGCGGTGGCGGTGATGGTAGGTGATAGTGGTGGTGGTGATAGTGGTGGCGATGACGTGGTGATGGTAGTGGCGGGGGTGGTGTAATGGTGGCGATGGTGGTGGTGGTGACGGTAATGGTTGTGACGATGGTGGTGGTGGTTGGTGGCGGCTGCGGCTGCAGCGATGGTGATAGTGGTGGCAGTGGCGTATGATGGCGATGGTGGTGGTGACGGTGACGGTGATAGTGGTGGTGGCGGCAGCAGCGGCGGTAGTTGTGGTGGTGGTAACGGTGGTATGGTGGTAGTGATGGGTGAAGGTGGTGGTAATGGTGGCGGTGGCATCGTGGTGGTGAGGGGTGGTGACGATGGCACTAGTGGTACGATGGCGGCAGCGACGATGGTGGCGGCAATCGTGTCAGAATGATGGTAGTGGTGGTGGTGATGGTAGAGGTGGAGAGTGATTTAGAGTGATAAGTGTTTCTCATTTTGTGTCTGCGGAGAAAAAAGCAGAAATTTTCTTATTCTTTTTTCTGTTCCCCAGCACAAAAATTAAACTGGTTCATCCCGGGAACAAAAAAATAAACTTATTTTGATGGTAGTGGTGGTGGTGATGGTAGAGGTGGAGAGTGATTTAGAGTGATAAGTGTTTCTCATTTTGTGTCTGCGGAGAAAAAAGCAGAAATTTTCTTATTCTTTTTTCTGTTCCCCAGCACAAAAATTAAACTGGTTCATCCCGGGAACAAAAAAATAAACTTATTTTACCAAACGAGTTTCCTATCCATTTCTGTTCCCGGAAATAAAAATTAAAAAAGAATTGATTCCAGGGAGGTTGTTATGTACACCCTAAAATTGCGCGTCAACTCGTAAAATTGACCGTTGCTACGATTTTTTCCATTCCCGCAATCTGAAACGTAGGCAAGATCATTTTCTTCTCTGATTCATCAAGATCATTGTTTAAGCTCGTGAAATCGGTCGGATCGTAAGATCCCACCGTTTCTGCAATTTAACTCCTTCTGGAATGAACATGAAATGCCAACCTAATAATGATTCTGGAACCTTCACCCCCAATGCTCCTACAATATGTCGTCAACAAAGGGTACACCTACCCACCATTTCTACCACGCTTGCATCATCCGAAGAGGTCTGGAGCAAGATCACTTCCTCATTTCTCACTTCATTTCCCTCGCTAACACTCTTGCCACTCTCGCCAATTGTGTCGCCGTCTTCGATTGCCTTCTCATGCCTTCTTCCTTCCTCTGGAACAATCTCATCAAAGCCCATTGCTAAAAGAGTTCTTTTCCCGATACCCTTTCTGTTTTTGTTCGCATTAAGGCAGATGGGGCTCTTCCCGATAGCTACACATACCCTTCAGTGATTAAAGCCTGTTCCAGCATATGCAATGCCCGGGAAGGAAAATTGGTTCATGGGTCAACGTTGAGATGTGGAGTGGAAGAGGATTCAAAAGGTGTGCAATGTGGAATCGCAAAAGGTGCATTTTTGGGAATGCCCGAGAAGCTAATCAGCACCATTCATTCAAAAGGTGCATTTTTGGGCCGTCCAACCAAGTGTTGTGCAACATTCAACACACCAAAAGTCACCAGCTCACATACGTCCATAATGTTATAGAGGAGGGCAACTCACTTCTCCATAAAATCAAGTTAATGTTTAAGCTTAATTATCTGTATAATGCAAAGTAATGGTGTATTTTATAAATATTATTTTTTTATAATTAAAATTAAACAATTACGATTTACAATCCGTAATGATTTCACGATTTACGATTTTTATTCCCTTTCAATCTCAAGTAAGATCTCGATCTTGACAACCTTGGTCTCTACTATGCCCAAGCACAACAATGTAGACATTCATCATATTTAGCATAAAGAAAAATCAAAGGTCATTGCCTAATATCAAAATGTAGTTCACAAGTGATAGGTGGTTAAATCACGATAAATTTTCGTTTATACCCTTCAAACCCTAATCTTATATTTCATATTATTATTTTTATATGGACCGATTAATCTATTACTTAATTAGTTTGGATCTAACATTGTAATATCCATTATATGATATGACTCTCCAAGACCACTTTTCGTCATGTTTATTAAGTTCTATTATTGTTGTCTTGGTTGAATTTGCCCATGCTTTGGTTTTGTAAATTGATTTAAAGTTTTCTTGTACTTCAGATTTTAATTAATGGATATAGGAGATCTTGCAAATCATTGGATTGTCAAAAGTGTGTTTTGGTTTCTATTTCGGCATAAATACTGATATGATATATATATATATATATATATATATATATATATGTATGTATGTATGTATGTATGTATGTATGTATGTATGTATGTATGTATTAGTGTATTACCCGTGCAATGCATGGGGGAAAAAGAAATCGGTTTGTTTGTCTCGTAAAAATTAACGCAAATCGTAAAAATTAACGCAAATCATAAAAGTATATCACTGCATTTTATGCAATTAAGATAATGAATGATCTTTTGAATTACTACATTTAACTTCAACTATGAAGTGTTTATAGGAATATTTGCCAACTCTACATATACAAAAAAGTTAGAATTAGGTACCTCATAATGTTAGTTAAATAGTAACGGCCCTCCGATCGAGCCCATTATCATCTCTAACTGTCAATATTGTATATCAACATGATTTGTTAGACAGTAAATATAAGAAGTAAAAAAATGTGTTGGCAGGCTAACCTGCCCGTTTGGAAGTTGGGGTGGGCCGGCTCGAAAAGCCGAGCCCATTTTGCCACCTCTAACTGTCAGCATTTTATATCAACATGTAATAAATGAAGAGTTGTCTCTAAATTGACTTTTCTGAAGTGTGTGTATTTGTGACATATATATTAGATGAAGAGTTGGCAAATATTTGAGTTATTACGCTTAATATTCT